CAGAGGTGTGCTGTGGCTTCAACTTTGTTGAAAGGTTTGTCATGTCACCAAACGACACTATTATACTACGATACATGCGCGTACGTATAATCTTCATTGTTTTAGTAATCTAGTTCCAGTGAACCATGTATTGATAAACACTGATGTCACCTTCGCAAATTTTAGTTTTCTTCTTAACAAGTATCTTTAGGTGGGGTGTTATAACGTTATAATGCATTTCCATGCTCTGAAACCTCTCTATCTCCATTTACACGGGACAAGTTCAGAAATGTTCATTGAGGTTCTTGACAGTTTGATCTGGCTTCGCTAGAATTTCATACCTCCATTATGTCAAAGGGGAAGCCGCAGGAAAAAGAAATATGTGGAGCAGCTAGTAGGGTGGGGTCTGGAGTTATCGAAAGATTTGAAACGGGAAATTTTATCTCACTTGGAACTAATTACTTAGCAAATTTAGCAGTCGACCTTTGACTGAGGTAATGTATTGTTGCCAATTAAACAAGCAAGGCCTCGCAATCTTGTTCTGGGTCATATTTTTTTTCTGGAATAAAAAGGTTCCACAATGTATGTAGAGCAATTTCATTGGTCAATGATTAACTATTAAACTTGTCGCATAATTGATCCGGACTAAAGTAATTAGGCTTTTTTTTTTGCTTATTGCGGATTAAATCATCTTCCAACCACATTGTTTGTTTAAATGTAAATGTCACTGAATATGATCAGAACTTGCGCACAAAGGATTAAAAAAGATTAAAGAATTTTTTCCCATAAAAAAAAAAGGAATAGAAGATAGAGAGCAAGTAACGAAAAAGTTAATGAACTTCGAGTCTTTCTAAATTGGCCCAAAGCTTTAGCAAGAAGTAATACTTACGCTGAATTCCATGCCAGTCAGTGACAGTGCTTTTATAGTAATTACATTAGTGCAACTTTCAGCTACTAGTTCCTTAAATCAAAGTGAATATAACCTCTTCTCTAATTTTTATTGCACGTAACATTTTCTCTAAATCTTAATTACATTATTGTTTTTAAACGGTAGGAAGGACTAAACACGTAAGTAGAATACCAATTAAATACTCTGGTTAAGAAAACAAAAACTCCCAGTCACAATCTAATGTTCGATTCTGAACATAAATTTTTATTAGCCCTTTTTTTTTTTTACCCCTTTTTTGTGACATAAACATAATACTGCAAAAATTTTGTGATACGACTACTTTCCCATTTCTTTTTTTTTTTCCTTTAACAGAAAAAGCAATCAGGCTTTTCCTTGATCTCACTTTTTAGCTGACAGAGGATCTTTCATCTTAGGAAACTGATCGATTTTAGGAAACGGTTTTGGTGTAATCAATGGGTCCGTCCATTCTCCTTCTTGAGCCTTCACCCCAATCCAGCACTCCCTGTCGGTTAAAAATAACCGCCACTGCAAAATGGAAACCCCAAACCCCACCCCCCCCACTTCTCTAACTCTCACTCCTCATCATCTACTCTACGAACCCCACCTCCTAGTCCTTTCACCTCGTCACAACCCAACCACCATCTGCCACCTCACCACCGTTCTTAAAGTCCAAACACGTGTCACCAGATCAAGCGACAGTTTTTGGTGCAATCCTTGAACCGACCACGCCAGATCCCAAATTCGCCCAGGTGTTTTCTCTTCGCGTAACGACCACCGACTCCCCTGTTTCTCTCTCATAACTCGCAGCACACTAGCCACGTTCTCCGAAGCCTCCATTCATGACGCAACCCAATAACTCCATCCAAATCCTAAACTGCTCCCCTTTTTAAAGACCGAGAACTAGACAAGTACTCGTTCAATTTTCTTGAAAGAGAGTTCGAAGGTATAGAAACATGGCGGGTGAAGATATAGAAAATGGGGCGGGAAAAAACAGGGGAGGAGGAGCGAACTATGCAATTCATGCAGAAGAAAGAGATGCTCAATGGATATCCTGGCTGATTCCAGTTTTTATTGTAGCCAATATTGCTGTGTTTGTGATGGAGATGTACGTCAACAATTGCCCCAAGCATATTGGGCCCGGTAACAAGTGTGTGGCGAGGTTCCTAGGGAGGTTCTCTTTTCAGCCTCTGTCCGAAAATCCCCTTTTAGGGCCTTCTGCTTCCACGTAAGCTTCCTCTAGTTTTTATTTTCTGTTACTATTACTAAAAGGTTTGAATTTTTTGTCTCGCTTCTTAGTTATGGAATTGAGGATATACTTTTTGTGGTCTAAAAATGTGATCTTTCATGTTTGGAAGCATGATTATGTGCTTCTGATTGAAACTCAATGAATTTCTATTGTGTCAATTATTTTGTCATCGGAAATCCTCCAAAGTTTTGTGCTTTACCAGAAAGTAGGCTTGTTTCTTTGCTTAATCAGTACTGATTTTCTATTGTTTTTTTTTTCTTTTTCTTGGGTTTAGTGCCTCTTTGGAACTTGAAATTTGTAGGAAAATTTTTTGAAAGTTTTAGGACAAATATACGGAGGATGAATTCCGAAGGATGAATTACGTACTTCAATAAGAATTTAAAGGTCATGTGTGGTTGTCTCCTACTGTAATTGTTGCTATATCTGTATCTGCATTAACAAAATTAAACATACTTACGGATGGGTAGATTATTATGAAAGTAACTGCTTCTTAGGCCGGGGGAGAGGTTTCCTTTTTTTTTTTGTCTGGGTAAAGTGAGAATCCCCTTTTAGACAGTCAGCTAGCTTTTGTCCTTGGTGGTTTCTTCAATAATGCATGGTCTGCCTTGTGTTTCTCGGAGCATGCTGCAAGTAACTTTTACTTTGCTTACGGTCAAGTGATAGTTATCTGAATGTTATGTATCTTTTCAGATTTGGAGTTGTGGTCAAATGGTCACTGACCAATATAAGGTCTTTGATCTCCTTTTCTTTTTAGCTTTTGTGGTCAGTTCTCCCTCATTGGTGGTTCAAGAGACTACTAGAGGATTTCGTAATTCAGATGGGTTCCCATTAGGATAAGCCAGTCATTGATAGGAATTTTTCTTTTCTAATGGGAGGCCAAGGTTAACCAAAATATGTATTGCTCCTTTCCTGACATAATACCTTTCGATTTAGTCTAGAGAAGATGGGCGGTCTACAGTGGACTAAAATTGTTCATCAACACCAAGGATGGAGGCTTATCTCATCTATCTGGTTGCATGCTGGCATTATTCATCTTGTTTCAAATGTGTTGTGCATTGCACTTGTTGGCATTCGCCTGGAGCAGCAGTGTGGCTTTGGTATGTCATGCTCCGACCTGTTTCTTCAGTTAGTCTAAATTCTACTACCTTCCTCCTATGCATGAATTTTAAGGGAACAAGATGCAGCTTTAGATATGGTTCATTGCTTGTGTTTAATTTAATAGTTCTTTTTTCAAGAAGACATTTTTCAATCCGTTTTCATGCTAACATCGATTTAAATTTTGATCTGGCAGTGAGGATTGGAGCTATCTACTTGTTGTCAGGATTTGGAGGGAGCATACTTTCCTCCTTATTTATTCAACGTAGCATTTCTGTTGGTGCTTCTGGTGCTCTTTTTGGACTTCTTGGTGCTATGCTTTCAGAACTAATCACAAACTGGAATATTTACACGCATAAGGTGGGTATGAGTTTTTCTCTTGCATGTTAGGTTGTTGAACATGCTATCAGGCCACTATTATTGACAACTTTCCAAATACTGGTTGTTTGTGCTGTTATGTATGGGAACATTTGAAAGGCTTTGCAATTGGGACAGTTTACTGATGATATGACACTCTTTTTATCCTTCTAATTTCAGCCTTTTTTTTCCACCCTTTCAATATCTAGGTTGCGGCGCTGTTGACCATATTGGTGATTGTTATCATTAATCTAGCTGTTGGGATTTTGCCGCATGTTGACAATTTTGCTCATATTGGTGGATTCTTGACTGGGTTTCTCCTTGGTTTTGTCCTGCTGCCTCGTCCTCAGCTTGGTTGGGTAGAGCGGCGTAATTTACCGGCTGATGTTCGTGTTAAATCCAAATACAAGGCTTACCAATACGTGCTGTGGTTGGTTTCTCTGGTTTTGCTGATTGCAGGGTGAGTCTGCTCGTCAAATGAATTGTTGTGAATCTTACCTGTGTTGTTTATGTTCTTTAATTCATTGTTTAGCTACTAGAGAGAACAAATTCTGTCATTTTTCTGGGGTCAAGTATGCTTTCTGTATGTATTATGTGTGAGCTGCCTTTATTTTTCTGCTGGGTACATTTGGTTAGGCTGTTTGGCTGTACCTTGAAATTATTGTCCATGGATAGCAGGTTACCTTTCTTCAAGCATTGAATATATTTTTTGTCATTGGACTAGTGCTATCATAGACTGAAATTTGGGAGGACATTCAGTATTGGAGTTCACACATTTTGATTCAGTGCAATGACATTCTAAATTCTATTTGGTTGATGCTTGCAGGTTGACTGTCGGACTTGTAATGCTATTTCGAGGAAAGAATGGATATGAACATTGTCATTGGTGTCGCTACCTGACTTGCGTTCCCACCTCTAAATGGAAGTGTGATGGGGAGTAATTAGCTTCGAGAATTTGGGTTTCTTATTTGGTCTTCTAACTTAGAGTTTGTCAGGTGTAAATGATAGCTTGGTAAATAATTTGTAGGCAGTAGACTCGCCACTTTCTTTGTGGTACCATTTACAGCTTCAAACTTTTTTCGTCTGGGCTATTATACGAATCGAGGTTTTCTATTTTTTTTTTTTTTTAATTTTAATATTGTTGTGTACATGCACGCAATAAAAGTAGATTCTCGTTATTGTTGCATGACGTTCATGTTCGAGATGAATTCATTGCCTATTTTTTTGATAGTACTTCATACTTTACAACGTTTACCTAAAACTCCCAATTGTTGTTTGGCATCAGTTTACTTCATCGTTACAGCCTTTTTCATGGACGATGATGCCGGCTGTTTATGGTAGTTACTACCAGTCATGCAGCCTTGATGAGAGAGGCACACTTTTAACATGGCCAACCCAACTCAGCCATGCTGGAATTATAACTTTATAAGACGCGCCATGCCATGGTGGAGGGGAGGAAATTTTCAAGAACAGTAGGGGAGGGAACATGGTGAAGATGGTCTTAGTGATGACTATAGTGGTCATCATATCGTTTGTACATTCTGCAATCGTGGGAGAGGCTGTAGATTGCAGCACCGTGACAGCTCTTCTATCTGCTTGTTCTAGCTTCATCATAAATGGTGCCCCGGATCCACTTCCTCTATCTCCATGCTGTGTTGCCATCACCACCCTCAATAATCTTGGAACCGACTCTTCCCAGAGTCGCCAGGTTGTGTGTAAATGCTTAATGGAGCTCATTACCAATTACAACCCAAACGCCACTGCTATTGCTACTCTTCCTGGCTTCTGTGGTGTTTCTCTTGGCTTCACCATTGATCCCAACACCGACTGTGAATAGTAACTCTCTCTCTCTCGCTCTCGTCAGCTTCTACCATAGCATCCATTTCTCAGGAATCCTAATACTTACTTTGCCTATTATTTATTGCAGCATCTCATGATCAGGTTGATTTTTTGATGGCAACAAAATTGTCTAAATCAGTAATCATATGACGCGAGAAGCAGGAGAGCTTGGATGAGTTGCAGATTACAATCCAGAAGTAGATGCAAATAAAGTACTGCTGTTTTCTTTTTCTTTCGCTTTTTATATCGAAGAAGATATGTGGTGTGAATAAGACCTATACTGCTAGAAAATCAAGAAAGTATTTTAGTACCATTCGCTACTTTTAGACGGCCGTGTTGTGCGAAGCGGGACCCCGTGACGCTAATTTCAGGACTAATACGCTATGTTGTGAGGTGATTGAACAAAACCAATTGCCAGGAAAAGCCTGAATTTCGACGACGGTACAAATCGACATTTAACTAATGACCATACGCACGAGCTATATATTTCTGTTGGATTTACTTTGACCCCGCATTAAGAGTGAGTTAAGAGCGGGTTGGAAAGAAAAGATTTTTTTTTTTTCTGACTTGTCCATTTCATTTCTATGTTTAACGCAGTTCATTTAAATAAGAGAAAGTTCTTTCCTCTGAAACGTGCATTCTGACTTTTTCCCCCCCCTTGATATCCCCTTCATCAGAAAAATCTCTAGAGAACTTTTTCTAATTTCACCCTAGAATGTCTAAATAATAGCATGTCAAATTTATAGTCATAAATTTATGTACTGCATCACCATTTCTTAGGCTATTTGTGAGCTCAATTAATTTTTGAACGTAATTTTTCATAATAATTGATTTTTCTTATTTAAAATAATTGTTTTTTTTATATATTAGGAGACAAAGGTGTATTTTATTCATTGACTTTTGAACAATTGCGTCAAAAATTTTTTTTGAATCTCACATCAAAATTGAAAATAGATTATAAAAAAATTATAATTGTTCCGCTTCATGTAATTTATATTTTGCATTGCTAATTATATTGCTAACAAATGCAATTTTAACTTAAAAATCTATATATTAGAAGGAATCAAGTATTATAACTGAGGAATTTTGATATTAATTCTCTTTTTTTGGAGTAAAAATATCAAAATTTCATATAAATAGATAAATGCTATTGTAGAACAAATAAAATAAAAAATAATAACACATATTATGTCAAAAAATAAATTAAGGGCAATTAAGTCAAATTTGTGTCCCGCATATTCTATTCTAACATTTAAATATTTTGATTATACTAAACAGTGAACATTCAATTCTAACTTGTCTATCAAACTTTGGAACAATAATTTTCTTTCCTACTATTCGCGGTAATCATTTTGGGTGAAAAAACCTTTCCATTTTGGGTATTTCTGATGTACCAAACGAGACGAGAGCAGCGTTGGTTCAAGTGGGTAATGATTGATTTTTCGAAGTATGCAGGCACGTGTCTACCAGCGACCTTTTCCACGGGAAAGCAAGCAAAGACATAATAATTTTTATCTTTTCACTTTCACTGAAACATCCAAATGTATATTATTGCCTCCTTGAATTCGTGCAACGAAATTGAAGAGGACGAAAGAGCATCATGATTTTGGCGAAACAAGTAAACTTGATAACCTGCAACTGTATATTATTTCTCGCGTAGCATCCATTCAGGTAAATTACCGATATTACCCAAAAAAGGCAGACCATGCGAATAGGAAAGCAGATGGCTTGTCAAGGTTTATTCTCTTTTAGACAAGTAGGCTTTGGTCTTGTATGGCCCGTGACTCAATTCTGGAAATTGAAGGCAAGCATGCTTGCTTCTTTCCTAATGCTATGAATTTACCGAAGACTTCAATCGCAGAAGACCACAAGGGACCGGAATATAATTTCCACCTATAAAGCAGACCATGCATGTCTTTCTCAGCGCCGGACTGTTTCCTGCGGCCGGTAATTCACAACAGTACGACTTTTGGGTAAAGTGTAATCCTTTAGTGAAAAGGTTGACCATTATCTCTTCAACTGGCATCATCCAATCCAATAATCCGCTCGAATTCTGCTTTAATATAAAAGGAGAGCCTCAAGGCAAGACATGCATTCAATCAACCGCAAAGTGATAACTTATTCTCAATGTGATGCATCAACATCATAGTGCAATGTGAAGAGTTCTAAACCAATCAACTTAGCATCTATGCAGTTAGCTAAGCTAAACACACAGAAGCCTCGTGTTCCTTCAATCTCTTTATGTTTTTGACATGTTTACAAGCAACAGGCGTCTTATATTACAAACCAAACCATCCAACAAGACTACAGCAAACTACAATTTCACACTGCCTTGGATGCAGGTCTAGTTATGACCACACCAATGTCCTCGTGCGGAGTTTGATTAAACCCTTTTGCATGATAGAATACAACCGTCATCAGATGCCCAGCGGCATGGCATTATCATAGTCGAGATAAAAGAGCAGGTATTAGCGCCTACTACGATAAGTAGCACCAAAGTCCACATTATCACCGTGGACTCGCATCCCTACTCTATCCAAACCAGAGCTATGGTAGGCTTTGCTCCTGAGATTAGAGTGTGGGCTACCTCTCTCAGAAACGGTTTCTGCATCCCAAAGACTGGGAACAAACTTCCTATTCGCCCCAAGTCTCTCATACTGTGTCCTTTGTCTGGGGGCACTTTGTGACCTGACTTTAGCAAGAGATGACTCCGTATTAGCCATGTAACTGGGGTGACTCAGGTAGTCACCGTACACGCTCCTAGAACACTCGCTCCTTGAGGGAGTAAAGGGACCTCTTCTGCTGCTACTGCCAGGTCTAGAAGATGCAGAGTGTAGACATGGGCTGTTATCAGCAGTCCATGCAAGTACGTGTTCCTCTTGTGGATGGAATTTTAGTGACCTTAAATTTGGAACTTCCCCAGAAGATACACTTGGATTTGGTTTCTCAAGCTTTGTTGCAAGTCCAGATATTGGATCAAATGTTGTAACGCTCTGCCCATTGTCATTCCAAGCCCGAAAACCCTGTGAAGCCTGGAAGATCTTCTCACTTTGTCTTGGGTTATGATGTGGCTTCCAAGTGTCTATTTCAAGTATCTTGATGCTTTTCTCGTCGTCACGGGACACATTGTTTAAGCAGGAACCATTCTGGTTGTTCCATGTACATTCTTCCATCCAGCGATCTAACCAACTGGAACCCAAATGCAATCCCTCAACTTTGATACTGTTGCTGATGTTTGGTTTTGAAACCCATCTCTGCATTCATGGCAAAGCAGAAGCTATCTATAAGATGCACAACATTGCACTCTGGAGAAATGAGAATTTTTTGAAAGCAGCAAAAATTCTGTATTTTCTCTCTCATATTTGTTTTTGGTTCTTTTCTATCTCTTAATTTCTCCTTTTTCTCTTTCATGAAAATATTACATGCGTGACTGCACCAGATCATAAAATACTAGATGCATGACTGCACAAGATAATAAACAGCTGGTCAATTTACCTTCAGCTCTGGTCCTTCGTGTTTGGTACTGTAAGAACGCTGTGGAATGTCATGCTTTTTGGGTGCTGGAGTATCCTGAAGGTGAATACTAGACATATGAGAAGTTTTCGTTGATCATAAAACCAAACCAACAGGCATCCTAGTGACCCATAAATAACTTATCACTAATTATGATAGATACCACTAATGGGAGGTTAGTTAAATTGAGCTAATGTAAACATTAAACTTGCACATGAATGGAATTCTTGATTCTTTAATTTAAGTTCTTTATCCACTGCCTGCTGACACCAGTTTCCATAATTTTCCCCCCTTTTGTAAATAGTTTCAATAATGTTTATAAGATTATGAGTAATGAAAACCTCTTACATGTCCTATAGGCTACTATCATAACACCAACAGGGATTAAAAGTTCTACGCTACTCCATGAATCAAAACGAGCGCTACGTCTCAAATTTTGACAAGGAAGAAACCTTGAGTTTTTTTTGCTTTTTTTAATAATTTGAGATTCTAAAAGCTTTACTATTACTTAACCTTGACATTGATGGTTTCAATGCCGGTCCTAATGCGAACTAATCATCACAAATAAAGATGCAAACTGAATGGATTTGGAAACACTTTCCTGAAATATGACAATGGTTGTAGATAGTTCAGCGTTACATGTCATCAATTTGTTGGCAAAAAAAAAAAAAGCAATTTTCAATAGGCAAGTAGCTCTGTACAAGTAACATATTTAGCAAGTCGTTAGCTTCCTTCTGCATCTAGAAAAGGAGATTTATAGCTTAGTGAAAGTGAAGTGAAGTTGTACTTACAGCATGGCAATGCTGGGAGGCCTTCATGTGAGCATGGGAGGAGTCTGAAGTGTTAGCCCTAGTAGCAGATGCTCGAGCTTGTATTCGAGCCATTGCCTGCATTCGGCGGAGCATGTCCGCACTTTGCTTTCTGACAATGTGACCTCTGACTAGAGCTTGAAGTTTTACCAATCCCTTAAGGGCCCTTAGTGCTCTCCTAGCCTATAAGACAGTCATCAGTACTTACTCAACAGTAATCAACTTACTAATGCATTAATTTACTGATGCAAATGCGCATCAGCACCATAACGGCAGATACAAAACATAAAACGGACATGCATTAAGGCAAAGTTTGGCCTGTGGAAATCTAAATGGAGAATCAAAAGATTTGTGAGGCTCAACCATTAAGGAACTCAATGTCTACCTTATTGTTTTATATGCTAAGACCAATAAGGCGGAACAATTGTACCTAGCAGCATTCCGCCAGTATAAATAAGCTGCAAATTAAAAAATATTGCATTCAAAGTTCTACTGCATGCGGATATGAATCAAATAATCAAATACTACATTTTACCTTTCCATTAATTACAGATGAAGCTGATGAGGTAATTTTTAAGCCATTAACTCCAAAGGCATGGAGCAGTTTTCTTTGGTTAAAGCACATGCCTGGTTCTTCAATATTAACTGCTGGCTATCAAAGCTAATGAAGGATGGTCATTTAGTACTAACTTTTTTGCTGATATCCCATGATTCCCTGCTCTATTGTGGAAAGTGACTCAGTCACTAGCCAAGATATTCTTTGAAGGTCAATTTAAGTTGTTAGAGAGTCTAATTTCTAATATTAGTATAACTAATCTTTACCCAATTTCCTTTTCTAAGCATCTGTTTTAAAGGACACACCACACACCCCAAAAACAAAAAGGGTGAAGAAGAGCATCACCAAATACAGAGAGAAGGAGGTTCTTTTTTCCTTTTTTTTGGGGGGGGGGGGGGGGGGGGGGGGGTGGAAGGGGCAAGTTATGCAATCTTGTGAAACG